GGGTTGGTGTAGGGCAATAGCACATACAGTTTGTACAGTATAAAAACCATTACGCCTATGGGATGTCCCCACTTTTCACAAAAACAAACCTGTGTGTGTGTGTGTGTGTGTGTGTGTGTGTGTGTGTGTAATTTATACAGTATTTAAAAAATGTGACTTATTCCTATGATGGCAAGACTGAATTTGCAGTTTGCGCTGCTCTTGGTAGACAGCAATGGTCATTATGCAAATGAGCTGACTGCGTCTGTGTTGGTTAATTTGCAGATTGTCAGCAGATCACTTCAGAACTTTTCACGCCTATTCTCGCTTTTTTGGGGGGGGGATTGCAGTCTCACCACTGATCTATAAGTGAGTCTGATAGGCTACTCACAAGTCTAATAATCAACATGGAAGTTTACATAACTGAGGCCAGACATTGAATGTATGAATGGGTTTTTGTGCAGTCCTTGATTAGGTGTAGATAGGCTACTGAAGGCGCTGGTGATTAAGGAGAGCTACATTAGATAAGTGTATCAGTGACAACACATAATACACATAAGGTATATATACACATAAGGTATATATGTAAACTTTGGAAACACAAACAGTCTGTGAAAGAGGTGTGTATAACCAAATTGTTTATTTCTTGAACATTGCAACAGACATTTATCACTCAGTTTGGAGCTTTCAAATATGACAAATTATATTAAGAAAAACATATATATATTAATACACATGCATAGGCCCTATAAATAAAATATCAAAATGAGATGAATGTGACATAAAAGTTTGTAGGTGTTCCAAACAGCCACATGTGAGATACTAAAACTATATTAATTTACATATTCAGATTTCTAAATATGCATGATTACATTTACTGCAGATATGTACAACTGTTTAGCATTTATATTCACATTAACTACAGAATGTACATGTATATACAGTATTTAGAATCAAAGATAGTATATCCCACAAACAGCTTGATTCTCATGTATTTTCTCTCTGATCATCGTGGCTCAGGTTGAGGTTATTGCTCAGGTATCTGGCTAAGTTAAGGTACTGTGCAATGCTTGTGGCGCAGAAATAAATTCCTGAGTCTTCCTCTACTAGATTCTTGATCTCCAGCGAAGATTCTTTAATGTCAGGACGTTGCATTATATATTTAGTTTCTGTGAATGGGGAAACTATTTCTTTATTGTCTTTTCCAACAGAAATAGCAACAAGGGAAAGTTCACCTTTGTCTGTCTGTACCAGTACTTCTCTGTCTGTACCAGTACATATAATAATAGCTGCCATCATCATGGTTGCATTTTAAAGTAACCTGTTTATCCCGTTGAGTAATCAGTTGAGTTTTACTAACTTGATCATTCTGAGTGATGGTTATTCCTCCTAATGACTCTGTTGGGTAGAAAACTATTGATTATATCAATTTTCAAAACAACAATGTTTTCTAAATAAATGTTTCAATTCAAAAAACAGTCTAGATAGACTTTCTAATAGGTAGCAGCAAAATAAACCCCGAACACAACAGTCCCATGACATTAAAGAGGAGAATCCACTCCTACTGTATCTTACCCCTTCTAGATTTATTTTGACTGTCCTATTTAGTGTGTCTATGATCAACAGGAACAGGAAATGACATCATAAATGAGAGATGAAAGCATGGTGCAGTTTTAACATTGTGGTTGTTGTTTAGCAGTGCAGTGGTAATATGATACTGTGTGCTCGTGGCACAATAATAGAGAGCCGAGTCTTCAGTCTCTAGCTTGTTAATCAGCAGAGTGGACATCTTTATCTCAGGACGGGTTGCTGCATACTTAGATTTGTGAGTTTTAAATGGTGCTTCAATCTCTATCTGATTTTGGCCAATAGAAAATACCAATAAAGACAAACCCTCACTCCCCTTTGTTTGCTTGTACCAGAACAATCTGTTGTGGTTGGAATTATCATGTTGACATGTCAATGTCACATTTGAACTGCCGTTGGCAAAGATTTCTGGCTCTTGGCGGATTTCTCCATTGGATTTATCTGGAAAACAGGATTGTTGTTAAAGATAAAGGTAAACATAACTGTTATAATGTAGTTGTAAACCCTTGTGGAAAAGGGTATTGAATGTGCATTTGCAGTGTACTTCAAATCTTAAAGGTATATTTAAAAAAAAATACTTGTAGATAATATAATATTAATGAAATAAAAGGCCATGTAAGTGTACTTAAAACAGTACAATTTCACTACTATGATATTTGAAATGTATTAAACTTAAAAAGTGCGTTTTGTAATAATGCCATCATTAGTAATACTAATTTTATCTTTTACTGTAGTGTGTTATTCAATATTACATTTAAAGTTAATATATTGTAAATGTACTAACTTCATAACAAATGTTTAATTTCAATAGAAATTTGGCTACATTCAAATATATTTTACTTTACCATAATTGCTTCTCTGTATATTTGGCATTATACTTTAACCCTATTTCAAAGACAATAAAAGTCAAGAGAATATAAATAAATATATAAAAAGTTGGGGGTAAAAAGTAGCAAAATGCAAAAGCCTTACAGACAGTCAGCAGTAAAGTGAGTATGAACCAGCTGAGCTCCATATTGTCCCATAAATGAATGAGCTGCGCTCAGCAATACTGTGACTGACTTCATATACAGTTAAGTGTCTGCAGTATGAGAGATAATGTCAACTTCCTGTGAAAAGACAAGCACACGCCCCAACAACACATCTCTCCAGTGCTGACAAACTACTCACTAAACTACTCATAATTTCTAGTAAAAAAGTTACAGTCAAACTTTATTTTAAGGTCCAATTCTCACTATGAAAAAAATCATTAACTATGACTTTTGCCTCAATAAACTCAATAAAATATGCCGCTTATTATAAGTTAGTATAAGGTAGTTGTTAAGTTTAGGTATTGGGTAAGATTAGGGATGTAGAATATGATTATGCAGAATATGTGCTTCATAAGTAATAATAGGCATGTTAATAAGCAACTAGTTAATAGTGAGAATTGCTCCCTATACTAAAGTGTTACCAAAGTTACAATAGGCTACAGTTGAAGTACAATTACCCTACCCTTTTTTATGTTTTATTTTATTAAAACAAAATAAAATAAATAAATACATACATACGTAAATAAATAAATAAATAAATAAAATTTCATAAATCCCAATGTATGTATATAAATGCTAAAAGAAAGAAAGAAAGAAAGAAAGAAAGAAAAAGTTGTTTAGAGCATTTTTTATATAAATAAGCACCAGTTAAGCTGCAATACCAAACAGGACCACATGGAGACGCCGAAAGACCATTAAACCTGCTGCCTTAACCTGACTGTACATGCTATTCAGATCCATTCAGAATAACTGAACCACTGACCAGCGCATCATCTAAAACACCTTCAGCCGGCATTCATTATAAAACACTCGTGCTTTTAAGCCAAATACACGCTGAAAAGTATAATTTACTGCTTGTGTTAAAAACATTTTAACACTCCAGGATACCTGCACTCAGTGCTTGAAGTGGAAAAAAAGAAGTGCTGTTACTATTAGCGCCTTTTTGACCGTATTACCTTTTATTAATGCATGCCCTTACTGGATCCTTGAACTTTCCAGAAGTTTACAGGTTTCACATGACCTCCTGGGTAGTGTGCTTTATAGTGTCATTTCTAATCACCCAGACACTGACGCTTTGACTCAGTACCGGCAACATGTCAGAAGTGCCAGTATGCACGAAAAAGTGCCAGTACGCTAAAGACTAAAATAATGAAGTGCAGGTACTGCGTACCGGTGCGTACCGGCCCACTTCAAGCACTGCATTTATCTCAAATATTAATAAATCTTGAGTTAAAAACATAGTGATGAAAAGCAGGATTTAATTAAATATCTTGGAAAATTTGAAATTATTTTTTTTACATGAAACATCCAACTGAACAGACTAACAAAACTGGCCTTTGCAAGTTCACTTCCTATCCAGTCATAAAAGGAATAAAGGTAACTAATTTAAAAAATAAAATAATAATAATAATAATAATAATAATAAATAAATAAATAAAAAGGTGAATTTGAATAGAGAATTTGGACTTAAAGAGGAATTTTGAAAGAATTGTCACTGGAGACTCAAACGTAGCTTGCTTCTGTCATGCCACTAAAAACTATGGAATAAAAAGCCAGTGAAAGGGTTATTAGCATTGCTACTTTTATTTAGTAGCTCCCCAACCCTTTAGCCATTTGGTTATAGAATGTTCAATGTCTTATAAGCACTGGAGGAACAATGGCTCTCAACCAGGATAGCTTTAGTCTCACATAGCCTGAACTTCAGACTTATGAAGGAAGGTCTGGACTCCACTGTAGCTTTCATTGGCCAAGGACTGCCCAAGAGGACGTCTGATGTAAAGCAACCAATCACAATTTGCTTTGTTCTGCATCATGTTTAGGGGTGAGAAAATGTAAAGTCGATGACCGATAATGCAATTAATTCAAGAACATTGTGCGAGTTTACTGCAGCAATGGTGCTGTGAATTTCGCATACTTTTAAAAAAATCCAGCGTTTAGTTGATCTTGATAAGCGCTCATTGTCACAATGGCCTTCTTCTTACATAATTGGGTTTGGCATCACAATGGCTTTGTTTCCACGTGGACCATTAAAGAACGTGACACAAGTCTCCCAGAAATCCTGTAGAATTCATCCAGTCAGATGATGACATTTTTTGTGCCATATGCATCAGACGTTTAGCCAACGGCATGTGGGCGTGACGTTTGAGGCTGTGACTAGTATATTCTTACAGCAAAGTTTCTCTAACTCCAGGTGTCAATTATATCACGCTTATTGTTAGAGTGTGCACAGTTCTAGCCTCACTGTGCCTTGCAGCACAGTAATATTTACCACTGTCCTGTGCAGTGAGTTTTGGATACGTTCAGGCTGAACCTGTTGTCCATTGTGTTTAGAATGGCTTCATAGTTCTGTGTTGGTTTGTCATACTCTTTTATAATAAACTGTATAGGTTGTCCATAATGGTCTTGCTTGTACCAATACATAGTATTGCTAGACATGCTAACTCCTGCTGCCATGCTACAGTCTAAAGTCACGTCATCTCCTGGTAGTGCAGACATGAATCGTGTTGACTGAAGCACGATGTGAGCTGATGTCTGACCTACAGGAATAAAAACAGTAGACAAACAAATAAGACTGAAAAAGCACTTACTTATAAGCTATAAAGTTATGTATAACTGACTAGCATGAGTTCAGCATGTTGTTTGCCTTGAATAAATAAAAAGGGATTTTAAATTTGATCAATTCAGCTGTCCATACTGTGTAAATGTCCAAACTGCAAATATGACACTCACGTTGACACACAATAAGGAGCCATTTCAGGAGAAGTACTGAGATTCGGCTGTTCCTCATCTTCCAGATTGAGTCAGATCAAGTGGAGCTCTAAGTAGCAAAAAGTAAGCTAACAAGCTGACTCTAAGAGGAGGAGCTGTGCTTTGTAGATGACGATTGATGGCTATGGTTCAAACAAATGTGAACAAAAAAATTGTTTCTGACATCATCACAAATTAATATCACAAGTACTGCATAAATAAAAATAATGTACATTATTTTGATTTTAAAGGCAACTTCTGAATGTGTAAATGTGTTTTCTGCATTTTTTAACTTGCCATTTAGAAAAAAATACAGGTTTTCTGTGTGCAGCATTTCATGCATTTTACATTTCATCTAGACATCATAATAAATGGCATATAGCAAAAATATGATGTTATAAAGCATGTTGTGAATATTTGTGCAACATGGCGGGATAATTACATACTACAAATGACCCAGCTGAGTTTTCAGCTCAAATTTATTGATTTTTGTAAATACGAAGATGGTATTCTCATGCTAAAGACAATATCTGTACCATGGAGGATTCAAAAATATTATGAAATATGTAATTGTGCAATTTTAGGATATATGTCTCCTGTTGTTGATGATGCACTTATTCTTTAGGTGTATTATATGTGGAATAAATGCATCAACAGGATTCAGACATCAATGTCAAACACTGAAAAGTTTGTACTATCTACACTGCATTGGTGTATATA